GGCTTCGAATGCGAAGACCGTGTTTATGTAGTCGCGGAATGTCCGTGGTATAAGNAGGAATAGGGTTCAAGGATTACCTACATGGACCGATGGATGCAGGCACAAAGATTAAGGTCAAATTCAGGACCGGGGACATAGGCCTTCGAGAATGTCGACGAAGACATTGGACGGTAGACGACGAAGACGACGAGTTCAAATGTGATTGAGGCTTCGAATGCGAAGACCGTGTTTATGTAGTCGCGGAATGTCCGTGGTATAAGGGGAAGTGTACGTGACTGAGCTGGGAAAAGTAGATGGGACGTACAGGGAGATGTTTGAGGCATGGAATAGAGAGGAAAGGACGGTAGCTGTACTGGGGCATAGGAGGTGGGTTGAAAAGGCGGCAAGGTTAATCGTTAGGATAGACAGACTAGGGAACACATTTTTAAGCCACTTTTGCCAAGTAGAAAGGAACGATTGGCCATCGGTGATCGGTCCGGTGGGAACAATGCTCCGTCCTCTCGAGGACGCGTGGTCAATGGTCTAACCGCTAAGACATGCAAAACATAAGAGTACCCCCCCCCCCCCCGCGCATTTCACTCACCCGTAAACCTCGACAAAGGGCACGTACGGAACCCCTCGCCTCAGGCCTTCCACCCCGTGCTTTGCCCTCAGCGCCGCCCCTATTGCCGCGGAATCAGACGCCGCCGCCGTGAACACGGGCGCCTGGAATACGTCGGCAAGAACTTGCAGAAGCTTTTCGTCGATCCATGCAGTAGCGCGAATGACAGCAGAAGAAAGAGCACGCGCGCGGGGGGGGTTGTCTAAAATTAGGAGTGTTCCCCAATTGCAAAGTGGGATCTCGGCCTCGCCGGCAACAAGAAAGCACCGAATATTTTTTTTGACAGAAATGCAGTCTTGAACACTATTACCATCATTGTTTTTGACTGAAACGCAGTCACACACACAGCGTGTTCGCGTTATTCTATCCGCTTGTATGCATTATTTAGACTGACGTCTTTTCATCGGTCAGTTGGGTATTACGCGGGGTCGCACCTGGATAACAAGACACACGCACACCCCAATGACTGGAGAACGTGCTCGCGGTTTCATGCCGCACTGAGAAACTGACCTCTTCGCTCAATGGCGAGCCGCATAGCGTGGTCAATGCAAAAAAAAGACACGCTTGCGATCACTTACACGAGAGAACGTGTTGTGTTTTTTTGTCATCGCATCGTGAAACGTACCAAGTATGTGCTGTGGTAAGCCAAAGCACCGCGGTCGATGCCAACAAAAGAAACACAAATTCACTGGCAGTATTCAGCATTCTCCTTGAATCTCAGAAGCAGGACAATGCCATCCAACCTCTGCGCACCCCCGCTGTCTGTAGAACCCTTACCCTTCGAATAGAAAAGCGTAGTTGCGATTTTCATCCCGCTGCATCACTGACGCCTTCCCTTTACATTGGTCAGCAGGCTATCGCCGTAGACGTTACTTCTCAAACACGCGCACACATCAAGGCTCATGCCTTTAGAAGCATTTTCTGTTTCAATCGCACTGAGACTGCCGCCGATGCTACATTGTACTTCTCAAACACGCGCACACACAAAGGCCAACACCTTCAGAAGCATTTTCTGCTTTCCGCCGCAACGAGACTGACTCCATTTTCCATTGATCAGCCGGGTGGCGCGGTTGATGCTAACAAAAAAAAAATCATACTAATGCATACACCTCGGCGTTGTTGGAGCCCCCACCGGTGGCGAGCACCCTCTCCGGCTTCGCCACGCCGAGCTCCTTCGCGTGCGCCTTCATGGAGAGGAACCGTCCCTCCACCACCGCCCTAACCTCCTCCTCGGCGCTCAGTTGCCCCTGAGGTACGATTCAGTAAATCGTGCGTGTCGGTGGTGGGTACAGC